CCGAACTGGAAACACAAGAGCCCCACACTTTGCGATAAGAAGGTTTGAATAGGGTACAGGAAAGACACAGAGGCAGGACTGTCTGGGGGCCCATGAAAGTCTTTAGAAAGGAGGGGACCCACGAGTCATGTCCTGAAGGATGGGTAAGCTGTTTGTCAGGAGCTGGTGGTGAGCAGACAGGTGCTCCAGGCGGAGGGGGCTCAGCTGGCGCGGCCGTGGGGACAGCGGGGATGGGGAGATGGCGGCGTCTGGGCAGAGCCCCCAGAGCCACTTGCATTCTGGAGGGAAGAATTAAGGCGAATGAGGCTCACTGTGTGACGTCCCCCAGCCCACCCTGGCCAGGGGAACGTGGACTTCATAATGGAGACAAGGAGCTGTGAGCTAAACTGATGCATCTGTGGTGGTGGGGTTTCAGACCTGAGTCCCGTGTGGGGAGGAGTGCAAGGCCAGGGGTGCCAGGCCATGTTTGGGGGAGAGCAGCTCTCCTACTGAAATCAATCCCATGGCAGAGGCCTCGTTAGCCCCATTGCCAGCCCGACGCCCCCATTCCCAGAGGACCTTGTTCATGACCAGCAGAATGTCCAGGTCTGAGCTGAAACCCTCAAATGGAACATTCTGGAAATGTCTCCTTTTGGGTTACCTTTAACACTCAGCCAGGTCACAGATGTCCTTCCAGCCACCCCAGTTAGGACTAAGCTGCTCGGGAAGGGGCCGACTTTGCTCTGCTCCAAGGCGTCCTTCCCAGTGATGGATGGGAAGGGGCTCTGGAAATTCTCAGGTGTTCTATCAAGTCAGGAATGACAGGGCAGGAGGCAGAAGGTTGCTGACAGGGCAGAGGACAAAGTGCTGGGGACAACCCTTCAACACATGGTAACCACAATGACTGAAGCTTATGAAAGGCTTCCCATGTGCCCAGCTCTTGATATCATTTCTTCCTCTTATTACATCTATTTTACAGGGGAGGGAACTGAGGCAGGGACAGGTTGCGTGCACTGTTAGAGATCAGTAGTTAGGAAAGAGCAGAGCCGGGTTTGCACCGGGCAGCCTGGCCGTGGGGCACACGGTGGCTGGCCTGGGCATCACGGGGAAGCCTGGGGACGGCAGGAGAGGAAGGAACTCACCAACTCTGAGGCCCGGAGCTGTCTTCAGAGGGTGAGCGGCGTCATACTCGGAGTCAGACAAACCCAGGGCTGAATTGCGGCTCGGCTACTTCCCTGTGTGCCTGGTTGCTCTATGCCTCAGTCTCCCCCTCTGTAAAATGGGGGCGGCAGGGCCCACCTCCTGGAGCTGTTGTGAGGAAGCATCCGTGAGGTGCCAGGCCGGGTGTGCGAGAGGAACGGCTGTCACTCTGACGGCTGGCCTTGCACGTGGCCGCAGGGGGCGAGAGGGAATCTGCTTGGGTCGGAGGAGACTACAGACTCAGGGGCTCAGTGTCCTTCAGAGGAGGGGCAAGGAACGAGGCATCTCCCTGCTGGGGGAGGTTTGGGGAGCAACTCTGGCCTTGGCAGCCAGCCAGTGCCCGGGGCTGGGGGCTTCTGCTGGGCTGGGGAGGCCCACCTGCAGGGGGCTGATGAGACCAGGGAGTGGGCACCCCTTTGGAGGGCTGGGACAGAAGTAGCCTCACCGAGTGGAAACGAAGAGGCAGTGGGGGAGTCCCCACCCCTCGGCCTCCCTCTCCACGGTGGCCAGCAGCCCCACCTGACTCCGGGGTTTGGGCTGTGCAGCCGGGGGCGAGCCGCCTCTCCCTGTGGGCTCCACGCTCTCTCAGGGCTCCTCCCATAGGCTCTGATTCTGGCCCAGGGCTCAGCTTCGCTTGAGGGGGCCCAGGCCCACCGAGGGGCGAGGGGAGAGCTAGGAAGGAGGAGGAAGGAAAGTGATGGAGGGGAAGGGGTAGAGGAAGGGTCCTGGAGGGCCCCTGGGGCGCCACTTTCAACTCTGGGTGAAGGGAGGCTGGAGCCTTGGGGCACTAGGGGCCTTGGCTGGTGGGCAGATCAATAATGGGGGGTGACATGGGATAGGACCCCTGGTGCCAGAAGTGATTGGGGGACAGACCGGCCCACATTAGAGTGTGTAGAGGGGGCAGGAGGCCACGCTGACGGCAAGCGTGGCCACCACAGGGGAGGTCCACACCTCCCGACACATGCAAGGACAGAGATGCCTGTGGTGGGGACACTGGGGAGACTGGCCTGGCCAAAGGGGAGGAACACTGAGGCTGGGAAGTGGGTACCAGGTCTTCCCCTGCTGCTCTGGGCCAGGCAGGAGCCAGGCCAGGGCACGGGGAGGGGGCCAGGAGCCACCACCACATTCAGGACCAAACCAAGGAGGGGCCGTGCAGGTAGCAGAGTCCCCTATCGGGTCTCGGCCCCCCTCTCTGACTGTCCTCCTCATAGGCTCCTAAATGCCAGAGGAGGGAGTGGGAAAGGCCTGCGCTTCTTCCCAGGGGAGCCCTGCTCCCCAGCCGCCCTCTCAGGATGGCGCTGTGCTGACCATCCACCCTGAACCCTGGGCTCGGTTCCTGCTCCAGGGATTGCAGAGCTGCTGGGGCAGCCGGTTAAGAGCACGTGGGGAGGCAGCCTGAACGGGGAGGGAGGCTCAACGCTGACGCGTTGCAGTCCTGCAGACTGGGGTAGGATACTTAGCTTCCTGGTCTCAGTTTCCTCATCTAGGAAATGGGATAATAATGTGATGACAAGGACTTGCTTCGAGGATTACATAGGGTAAGGGACAGGAGTGCTTAGAAGTGGCCCAGCATGTAATCAGTGATAGACGTTTGAATATCATTCTTATCAGGATACCCTGTTTATAACTGTAAACAGGGTGGGGGCAGGAGAGAACAGGCTGCAGGGCCCCATCAGGGGCTGTGTGCCATGCGCCCATCAGTGGGCTCTGGGTGGACCTGCTCTCTCCCACTCAGGTAAGGGATCCGTGGTGAGGCTCAAGACACAGATGGGCCAGGCCTGCAGCCACTGCCACCGCCCCAGCTCAGGCCCCAAGCAGGCATTGCCCAGAATGCAAGCGACACACTCCTTGGCTCTGGAGTCCGATGGCCTGGGGTCCAACGAGCAAACTCTTAGCAGTTCTGTGCACTGGGCTGGTTACTCAGGATGCAAAACTATGCCACCCAAAAACAGGGCCGCTGTAACGCCCCCTTCTGTGTCATACAGTTGTCACAGGATTCAATGAAGCAAACCCAAGAAAAAGGCTCAGCCCGGTGAGTGTGCTGTGCTCTGCCCCAGACCTGGCATCAAAAAGCCTTGAGCAAGCTGTCTTACTCCCCAAATTTGGGCTTCCTCGTCTTGGGGGGGGGGGGCGGGTAGTAATATTCTCCGCCTTGGAGAAGTGATGGGAAATCCTACATGTAAAGCACCCGGAGCATAATAAGAGCTGATAAATGGCAAATGTTTAATTCAGCCCTGTGTGCCTATGTTTCCTGATCTGAGGTCCCTCTTCCCAAGGCTTCTGTCATCGCTTTGGGTGGGGGACTCGACCGAGGTCACTGTCAGATTAGAGCCTTGGGTCAGTGCTGGATGTAAAGGGGGGGGAGATGGACCCCAGTGCAAGCCTTCTTCTTGCTCACACTGCTCCTGATCACAGGGTTGATCGAACTGGCCTTCAAGTCCACTGAGACCCACGGATCATTTTCTCAGTTTCTCACACAAAATGTCATTCCTGCTGTTCCTGTGCTGGGGGAGAGAGTGGAAGAGCCGCACGTTGGCTCTCTAGTATTTTAAACTCTTGTTCCTCCTCTGCTGCCTCCCCACAAGACCTTTCCTTCTGTAGGCTCTTTATAAAAGCTGAGGTTGACAGGCTATGCATTGAGAAATGAGGGTTAGAAGGGCAAGGTGACTTGACTGGGGTTGTAAGTGTTGGCTGGGAGAGCATGATCTGAGATCCTCCTCCTCTGGACACTGAGCTAAACTTGTTTTGAAACAAAGCCAATCAGCGGTTTAGCGCCTGCCTTCCACCCAGGGTGTGATCCTGGAGTCCCGAGATCAAGTCCCACATCGGGCCGCTTCTCCCTCCGCCTGTGTCTCTGCCTCTACCTCTCTGTGCCTCTCATGAATAAATAAATGAAATCTTAAAAAAAAAAAAAGAAAGAAAGAAAGAAAGAAAGAAAGAAAGAAAGAAAGAAAGAAAGAAAGAAAAAAAGCCAAGCTCCAGTCTCCGGTGAGGGGAAAGATGGCACTCTAGAAACTTCTAGGAAGCTGTCAAGATGGTTATGGAGGCCCCCTGTGGACAAAGCACAGAGGACCTAGTAGAAGCCACCAATTCCCTGGGGAGACACCGAGGGGCTTTGAGCTGGGCAGGCAGCATCCTGGGGAGGAGGCTCAGGGGCACTGCCACGGGCAGCGTGCGGGTGTCCATGCGTGCATGCAAACCTGCATGCAGGCACACACGCATGTACAAGGTCCTTGCTGAGGAACTGAGGCTTCTCGGCTTCTCTGCTTCATCTGAGATGGGACTGGGGTCAAGCCAGCTCCTGGCACCTTCCTTGCTTTAGGTTTGGGTTATCTCCCATGGGTCACCAGAGCCTCCATGTGGCCCCAGAAACTTAGACTCCCTAGCAGATTGTCCAGCCCAACCGCTTCAATGCCAGGACTTAACCTGGGCCTCCCATTTCCATCTCTCCAATCCAGGATTCTTTATTTTTTTTAATTTATTTTTATTCTTTTCAATCCAGGATTCTTATCATGCGGTATTGCGTTGCCCGCTGAGTGCCCCCGAGAGAGGTTTCTGAGGGTCCCCACGCTCACGTCCGATATGCCCACATTAGGGGGTGACTTTGCCTGGACCTGAGCCCTGCCCTTCAAGGGGCCAGTGTACTCGTGCGGTCAGGGCAGCACATTCAGGGGCCAGGTCACTCAAGGCTCTGGGTTGGGGCTGGCCTGCGGGCCCTCCGTGGCTCCACCTACCCCCCAGGGCTCCCTGGGAAGAACAAGGGCCAGTGATGGGCCATGTGCTTTGTGCTGGCAGTGCCACCGCCCTCTGTCTGCCTGCAGGTCCCTGGCCCTGGGCCAGCAGTACACATCCTTGGGCTCACAGCCCCTGCTCTGCGGCTCCATCCCAGGCCTGGTCCCCAAGCAGCTGCGCTTCTGCCGGAATTACATTGAAATCATGCCCAGCGTGGCCGAGGGAGTGAAGTTGGGCATCCAGGAGTGCCAGCACCAGTTCCGGGGCCGCCGCTGGAACTGCACCACCATAGATGACAGCCTGGCCATCTTCGGTCCTGTCCTGGACAAAGGTACTGTTTCTGGGCCGGGTAGCAGGTGGGGGAGGGACTGGATAGGGGAGGGCAGCAGGTCATGGTGACTCTTCCACGTCAGGGTGCCTCAGCTTTGGGCCCAGGGGTCCCCAGGGGATGGCCATGAAGCTGGTCAGGACCTGCAGGTGCCTCTAAAGTGGGTTGGCCCTCTCTGGACTGACTCAGACTGTCACCATGGCAGCCACACCTTCCCAGGTACTGCTGGAGGGCAAGCAGCCTTGGGATGCTCTGCGTCCTGAGATCCTAGGGCAGGACAGGGTGCCGTGGCCTCTGTCCTCACCCCCTCACAGTGAGGTGGGGAGGCTTTGATGTGGACATTTGCGACATCTTCCCAACACTGTGTTGAGCACCATGCAAATCCAGCTTTTGGGTGAGGTGGGGAGCATCACCACCTCTGGGTCCCTCCCATATAGAAAATTCTGGGGCTGAGGAAACTGCCTGGTGCTTGTGGCACTGCATTGCCCCCAAGCATTTCTGTGAGAAGATTCTGCTGGCCCCCCTGCCCCTGCACTCTGGATATGCAGTGGAGGGCTAGAGGACGTGCTGGCCTCGGGGTACCTTCCTCACCCTCCTGCCACCTGGGAGGCGAATCACCTGGTGCCTGAGATGATTGTCATTCACACAACTTGACTTCAAGCAAGACTAGGGGAGAGGGATGAGGGCGAAGGGGACTTTGGGGTGGTGAGTTCTGGGCCAAAGATGGGCAACTCTGAGGAATGGCAGTGCCCCGGAATTTAATGACCCCAGCTGGCTCCCTGGAGCCACCGCTCCTTTTCTGCAGCAACTTGAACCCTCCGGACCACCACCAAGGCTTTGCCACCCGAACTCGTGAGCCTGGCCCCCCCTTCTTTTACAAGAACTATATTTATAGCCAGAAGGAACAGGGATCTGAGAGCCAGGTGGATTTGGGGGTGGGGTGGAGGATGAGGGGCACTGACCCTCTACATTTTAGCACGCGGGGGGGGGGGCGGCGGTGGAGAGGGGAGCCCTTCACCTGGGCCTCAGCTGTGCTGGGTCCGTCGGACCTACCGGCCATTGTCAAGGGACAGAGGAGCAATTAGCGAATCAATGGATGATGATTCTGTTTACGCTTCTATTACCAAAGCTAATTATTCCTTGTTTACATAAAAGGTTTGGCCTCTAATTGGGGCCGAGTGGCGGCGGTTTGCATTTCAAACCTGATCTTGCCTGGTGTGTCAGTCTCACCGCCTTCCGGGGCCCCACCTCGGGCCAGGTAGCCCTTAATCAAACAGCCTGGCGTCTAGACGCGCTCCCCGAAAAGCAAGACTCGCCTTCTGGTTGCTGCCACCCTCTTGGGACATCTGGCGATGAGAGTCGGGCCTCTGAGCGTACGGCCCATCCGTCTGTGCTAAACGCTTTCAGTCACCACTGTAGGTCTCGTACCTGCCTTCCTCTCTAGCTTGCAAGAGGGCACTCGTGGGGGGGGAGGGGGGGATAGGTCGGAAACTCCAGACCTGGACGAAGCGGAGGAAGGCCCGGGAAGAAGGCGCCACGCCGGCCCGCGGGTGCGCCCAGGCCCCGCGTGGAGAGCCGGGGGGGGGGGCGGGACCCGCTCCCCGCGCCCGGCCGGCCCGAGGCGGAGGCGGGGCGGAGGCGGGGCCGCGGCCCGCAGGGGGCTCGGCGGCAGCCGCGGGGCGGGGGTCGGCGGCCGGAAGGCGACGGGCCGCGACGGCGGGGCGCGGGCGGGCCGGGGCGGCGGGGCGCGGGCGGGGCGGCGCGGGCGGCCCCGAGGGCTTAGGCGGCTTGAAAGGGGCCCGAGCGCCGCCCCCCACCGCGCGGCCCGGCCCCGCGCCCGCTGCGGCCGCCGCGCCATTCACACGCCCTCTGGCCATTCGGCGCGGCGCGGCGCGGGGGCGGGGGGCGCCGCTTCAATGGGGATTTCGCGGGCCGGCGCCGGGGCCGGGGGCGCGGCCCGGCCGCGGGAGCCGCCCGTTGCTACGCGGTGGCGGCCGGCCCGGCGGCCCGGGCCCGGCGGCCGCATTATGCGGGTAATGCGGTGTGACACCGCGCGAACAAAGGCGGATTGAGCGGCCCAGCGGGCCCCGCCGGACGGGGACCGGCACAGCGGGGCTGTCAGCGCCGCTCCCAGGCTAATCCCCGCCCCGCCCCCGCCGCCCCCGCGGCCCCGCGGCCCCGCGGCCCCGGGGCTGGGAACCGAGCGCGGCCCGGGGTCCGGGCGCCGCCGCCGCCGCGAGAGGCCGCGGGCCCGGCCGGAAGCGAGGCGCGGGCTCCCGGCGCCGCCGCCCCCCGCTCGCCCCGGGCGCTCCGCGGAGGGCGGGAGCTGCACCGGGGGCGAGGACCGCGGCGGGGCGGGGGGGGGGGCGGGGGGGCGGGGCCTCGGGCCTTGCCCCCGCCCCCACCGCGGCCTCAGTCCGCCCGGCTCCGCGGGCTCGTGCGCCTCCGAGGTGGCCCCGCCGCTACCGGGCGCTCTCCCCTGTGTGCCCAGCCGGGCCGCGACCTCTCTAGGCCGGCGCGGCCCGGGGCCGGTCACCTCCTGCTCCGGGTCCCTCGCCCGCCGGGAGGGAGAGGGTTGGACGGCAGGTCTCCCAGGCCGTGGCCCTCTGACCCTCAATGTCTGCATCTGTAAAATGGGCCTATATTAAGACCTGCTGCTGCCTTGGGGGAGGACTAAATGGGATAAAGCCCATGGAGGGCAGACTCTGGCGCATACTGAGCGCTCCAAGGTGGCCATCAGTATCCTGAGGTCGGGGGACAGCCCTGAAGCCCCGGGATCCTGTCCTGTGTTCTGTCCTCCCGGTGGTGGCAGGGGGAGGCTCGGGAGCTTCCGCGGCAGAGGGAAGTTGTACCCCTGTTACAAAGAGTAACTGCGGCTCTCAGGAAAGGAAGGGTCTGCCCAAGCGCCTCTAGGTGGGGGGCGGGTGGCCTCACCCCCCGCAGGCCTCGGGCTCTCGGGGGTGGGAGGGCTTACGCGGTGCTGCGGACTCTGGCGTTTGGGCAGATGGAGGGCAGGAGGCCCCATCCCTTCAGCAACCTGCCGGAGCTGTACTTTCTGTGGCTGCTTTTACCAGGGTCAGCTCTGTGCTGGACCAGGCGTGGAGGCCCTGGGTTAATCCGTTGGCTGCCCGGGGCCTCAGTTTGCTCATCTGTAAAGCGGGGATACCTCAGAGGCTGGGCCAGCCCAAGGGGGTCAGAAGGGCACCTCGGTTCCTCCCTCTTTCCTCGCGGCTGGGGAGGTCGAGGCAGGGCGGCTGCGCCCCACGACCCGGCCTGAGCAATGCCCTCCCCGCAGCCACCCGCGAGTCGGCCTTCGTGCACGCCATCGCCTCTGCCGGCGTGGCCTTCGCCGTCACGCGCTCCTGCGCCGAGGGCACCTCCACCATCTGCGGCTGCGACTCGCATCACAAGGGGCCGCCCGGCGAGGGCTGGAAGTGGGGCGGCTGCAGCGAGGACGCCGACTTCGGGGTGCTCGTGTCCCGGGAGTTCGCGGATGCGCGCTGAGAACAGGCCGGACGCCCGCTCGGCCATGAACAAGCACAACAACGAGGCGGGCCGCACGGTGAGCCGCGACCGCCCTGGCCGGACACCACCCCCCTCCACCTACCCTTCGGACCCTGGCCCTGGCCCTCCCGGCTGGCCTCGCCCCCGCCCTGCCCTTCTGGTGGCCCTCGTGCTGCCCGGGCTCCCTGCTCTCCTCTTTCCCCTGGCCTGTGCTTGGCCCCCACCCACACCCCACAATCACCCCTTCCGTTCCCCTTTCTCCCTGGGCTGTTCCCGTCTGCACCTGCCCAGGGATGCGTCAGCTCTGGCGCAGGTACCCGCTGGCTGATCGGTGCTCTTGGGCTGCCTGGGCAGGGCTGCCTGGGCAGGGCTCTGGACACCGCTGGGCCTGGCTTTGAACTCAGCCTCCACCACTTCCTCTGCTTGTTTGACGTAGGGCGAGTCACTTAAGCTCCCAGCCTCAGTTTCTCCATCTGTTAAACTAGGATCACAGTCCCTAATACCTATAGCTTTGAGAAATGGCTGCGATTTCTGCCAATGCTTGGGGCTGTGAGGGTGCAGGAAACCATGGCCATCATCCTTTAGGTCCGTACCTTCGCCCCCAATCCATTCTCTTCTGACACCCGCTAGGAATAGAGAAGGCTCCAGGAATCGGGTGGGCAGGGGCAGAGAGGGAGGGCCTAGGTTGTGCTCCCAGGGGGGTCGAGCCAGGGGCCACCCGCTACTCCTCTTCCCCAGACCATCCTGGACCACATGCACCTTAAATGCAAGTGCCACGGGCTGTCAGGCAGCTGCGAGGTCAAGACCTGCTGGTGGGCCCAACCCGACTTCCGCGCTATCGGCGACTTCCTCAAGGACAAGTACGACAGTGCCTCGGAGATGGTGGTGGAGAAGCACCGTGAATCCCGTGGCTGGGTGGAGACCCTCCGCGCCAAGTACGCGCTGTTCAAGCCGCCCACCGAGAGGGACCTGGTCTACTATGAGAACTCCCCCAACTTCTGCGAGCCCAATCCCGAGACGGGCTCCTTTGGCACCAGGGACCGGACTTGCAATGTCACCTCTCACGGCATCGATGGCTGCGACCTGCTGTGCTGTGGCCGTGGTCACAACACGAGGACGGAGAAGCGGAAGGAGAAATGCCACTGCATCTTCCACTGGTGCTGCTATGTGAGCTGCCAGGAGTGCATCCGCATCTACGACGTGCACACCTGCAAGTAGGGAGCCAGGTAGGGTGGCGCGTTGGGGTGGGGGTCTGGGGGGCCTCAGGACAGGGAACTGGGTTTGCCCACCTCTTCTTGACCACCCCACTTCTGTTTCTGAGCTGTCCAAGACACACAAGTTTCCCCGGCCAAGATAGGAAGCCAGGATTTCCCCAGCTCCAGCGGGGATGGTCCCTGCACCGCTTTTGGTGGCTTACACAAAGCACAGATCCCAGCTAAGTGTGTGTAGAAGCAATTGATTCACGTGTACAAGTTAGTACACGGTGAGCCAGGCCAAATTTTTGCATGGCCACTGGCTGTCACTACTGAGCATCTGTGGAGGCAGAGTAGGGACACCTGACTTCTGGTCCCGACTTTGCCCTGTTCCACGAAGTCCCTAATTTCCCGTTCTTTCACTTCCATGGGCCTCAGTATTCTTACTGTAACCCGAGGGGGTTAAAATTGTTGAAATAGTTGGCCAGAGATCTTCTTTTTACCCCAGGGGCAGACCCCTTTTGCACCCACCTTGAACTTTCATGCCACTTTTTGCACAAGCATAAATCCTCCTGACCTCGAGGAGGTGGGTGGGGGAAGCTGTGTATAAGCCCATATCCTGTCAGATCTGAAGCTTGGGTGGAGCAGGGGCCACTCTTACCGAGTTTATGGAAGGGGATGGGGAGGAGGAGGGATTCAAGTTCAGAGTGCTGTCGGTGAGTAATCAAGGGATCAAAGGCAGGTGGATTATGTTCCCAAGCTTCCCAGAGGTGGCCTGCGTGGGAGACATGGGGCCTGGCCCTTGGATCCCTACGTCCCCAGCATAGGGGAGGACTGACATAGGGTGGTCCTAGAGTCTTGGAGGTGGAAGGTCTGAGACTGCTATGCCCTCTCTCCCTTTTCTCTACCCTGAGAAGGAGCCTAGTCTATAGAGCATGAGCCCTGGTCCAAGCTGCCACCACTTGCCAGCCAGGTGACCCTGATGAGAGGGTTTTTATAGATCTGCCTCCTTATCTATCATCCTCCCCAGAGGGGCTGTGGGGATGGTGCTTGGTTCATTGCAGAGAACCTACCTGCCTGGATCATCCCCCACTGCTGCCCCGGGACAGTGCAGGGGAGAGCACCCCACTGGGTGATGCAGTTCCACAGGGGCCATCTCAGGGCTGGTGGCACCTGACTACACTGTGTGGGGCTGGGAGAGGGGCCGGGACTCTCTGAGGTGCGGAGGAACCCACATTGTGGGGAGAGCTCTGAGTGAGTTCATCTGGGAGGCCCCTCGGTGTAGCTCAAGTTATGACCTGGCAGGGACGGGGTCCAGAGAGGCAGCAGAAGGTACCACTTTCTTGGTGTCTGAATGGGCACAGTGTGGCCGCTGGAGAGAGGACACAGCTCCACCACATACCAGCCGTGGAAGCCCCAAGTCCAGTTTCCTCATCCGTACAGGGATGGTGAGAGCCTAACAGAAGTTTTATGAGGCTCAAGTGAGTTACCAGAGGTGAATGCCTCTCTGAATCTAAAACTAATAGAGTGATAAATGCCATCAGAGAGATGTGACACGAGGGTGTCATTGTTCAGTGGGATGATGACACCATCTCACTTTCCCAATAAAACTTGGGCAAGTTTTATTTCCTGCTCCTCACAACAACTGAAAGGTCAGCGAGTATGAAAGAGCTCACCGGCTCGTTGTTAGCATGCCCACTGTGGCCAGAGGCAACATGGTGTCCCCAAGTAGGACATAGCTCTGGTCGCTCTAGAGGGAGCTGTGCACTGGACATTTGTCTGGCTTACCCGTTACTAGAGTGAGGACACAGAGCTCGGGTCTCTGCCTCCAGAAAGCTTCACATGTGGGTCCTGCAGAGGCTACAGCAGCAGTAGCCCAGGCCCTATTGGTGGCTCTAGGTGGCTCTAGGGTCACTGGGTCAGACCCCAGCAGCTTGTAACAGCACCTTCCCTCTCCAGGTCGGTAGCCAAGATAAGCCATCTGCCAAGCAGGGAAGGAGGTGCTGGTTTGACCCTCAGTGTCCAGAAAAGTCCTCTCCCCGTCACCCCTGTAATTAGAACTGATTCCAAGACGAATTAACACATCTTCGACCATCTCTTCTCCCATTTCTGAAGTAGAATGGTATTTTCTCCAGTCGTATAGAAAGTGCCACACAGACATGGTTTCAAAATGCCATATCCAGACAGACCGGGGAGCGGGGGGCTCCCCGGAGGCCCCTCCTTTCTGGTCACTGGAGCTCCTGCTCTGGGATAGCTGGAGGATTCTCTTCCAATGTGGTGCCCTTTTAACAAATTTATAACTTGTTGAGTGAGTCGGGGCAAGCTGTGGAGCCTCTCTGCACCTTGGTTCCCTCATTCATGAACTGGGGGCGTTGTGTGCGCCAGAAGACCACGTGCTGGGCCTGGCACGTGGTCCAAGGAGGCAGCGGAGATTCCCAGGCCTAGCAGGGCTGACCTCCAAGAGCGACTTTCTCCAGGCACGCTGCCTGGTGTTGAGGCCAGCCCAAGATTGGCTGAGACTGGTTACCTCTCTCCTCCTTCCAGCCACACTGACACTGCAGGCAAGATGGGAACTTTCGAGACAAGCTGATAGGAACGAGTGCCCTTCACACACTCGGTGGGGAGCCCCAGTCATAATGGCTTTGTTCCATGGGAAGGCCAGAGATTCTCGGTCCTTCCCTGGTGGGGACAACATCTCTTCCATTGCCTGTAGCTCCTGTCCAGTGTCCCAAGCTAATGACTGATGTCATACTTTGCAAGTACCAGGTTCATTCCTTGTTACTGAGATGTTATGAGCACAGTGAACTGGAAAGGGCTCTCTCTCGACAGGACTCGGAGCCTGGCTGGCCTCACGTGCTGGATCTGTCACTAACTTGCTGCAAAACCTTGGCCATGTCCCTTTAATCTTGCTGAGCCTCAGTTTCTGCCCCTGTAAAATGGTCTTCCACTGGCCTGGCCAGCCCCCAAGGAGTGGAAGGATGATTGGGAAAGCCCATGAAAGCGCTTTGGGCCTCGAATCCTTTGTGAGATGTGAATACACAAAACAGTGAGAGGTACACATTGGTGCTGCCTGAGAAGGAATTATTCATCATTAATTACTTAAAAAAAAGATTTTATTTCTTTGAGAGAGACAGAGAGAGTGAGCATGAGAGAGAGAGAACAGAAGCACCGGGGATGGGCAGAGGGAGAAACAGACTCCCCGCTGAGCAGGGACCCCCCCCTCCCCCCTGCCCCTGCAATGTGGGGCCCAATCCCAGGATCCTGGGTCCATGACCTGAGCTGAAGGCAGATGCTTAACCGACTGAGGCATCCAGGCGCCCTTTTTAAAAATACTTTTTAAAAAAGATTTTATTGTTTATGAAGGCTGTGTTTATTTTTTTTAATTATTTTTTTAAGGTTTTTCTTTATTTGAGATAGAAGGCAGGAGTGGGGCACAATTAATTACATAGCTGGGCTCCGGTGTGGACTCACTATCAAGCCACTGGTGTGACAGAAACGCCCGGCACAGGGTCCACTGGAGTTGGGAGCGGGCCCTGGCCGGCGGGGTCCTCAGGGTCGCCTGCCGGCCGCCGCCCCCCACTCCTGCTGCCGGGGGGCTTGGGATCCGAGTCCTGGCTGCTAGAGCCCTCCTGTTCCCTGGGATCAGAGCCCTTCCCCAGCGGCAGACCCCGAGCGGAGGAGGGGGTACGGGGCAGCCAGCGCGCTCCGTCACCCCAGGGACGCGGCCTGGCCTGGGTCTCGGCGTCCCAGCGGGGGGCGTCCCCGAGAAAGCAGCCCCGGCTCTCATTCTTGCCCTTGGCTTTGCAGGGGGCACTGGGAACGGGTGAAGCGAGCGGCTGGGCAGATGCGCCGGAGCCGGCTCGGCCGCCCCGCAGCACGACGGCCCGCACGGCCCGCACGGACTGTGGCCGACCGACGCCCGCGGTCAGCGCCTGGACCCGCCCGGCCGCGGGAGGCCTCCCCGCCCTCTCCCTCGTTTCTCACCCTGCTCTGGATGGTGTGTGGTTCTCAAGGAAGGGGCTTTCTTTTTAGTTCTCTAGGGTCTGATAGGAACAGACCCCAGGCTTATCTTTGCACATGTTAAAGAAATAAAAATGGAAAAAAAAAATTCTCCTCCGACACAACAGGCCGGGCCCCCGCAGCCGCGTGGCTGGCGGCGAAGACCTCAGGCGGGCCGGACGCCGGGCCCGGGCCGCCGCCAGGGACACGCCAGCTGCCCGCGATGGGACTTCGCGCAGGCGGGAGCCCGGCTGCCCGTCCCCGGCGCTCCTGCTGCCGTCTCCTCCACACCGCCTCGCGGACAGGAGCCTGGGCTGGCGAGGACCGAGCGGCGGGAGCCGGAGCCGTGACGCGAGCGCCCGTGGGCCCGGGCCCGTCGAGCGGCGCCGCGGCCCTCCCAGTCCCGTGTGCTCCGCACCGAGGCTCCGGCCCGCGCGGCCCGAGCGCCCGTCCCTTGCCAGTCCGGAGTGTCTGCCAGGAACGCGGTGCAGGGCTTGTGTTTTGTTTTGTTTTGTTCTTTTTGTTTTGTTTTTTAAGAGTCGGACCCGATGTAAATAGGTTACGTGGAGGGCGGGCGGCGAGCCTTCGGCAGCTCCGTTGGCTTCCTGGGGAAAGCCGCGGGGTCTCGGGGGCCAAGGTCGGTCCGTCCGGGCCGCTCGGCGCAGGCCGTCCAGGAAACAGCTCCAGGGGCAGCGGCTGCCAGGCTAGTCCCCCCCGGGAGAAGCCCGACCTGGGGCCGCCGAGGCGGTGGCGGCCTCCCCCTGCAGCTCCGATTTGGTGACGTGTAGAGCGGGAGGCCAAACGTGATTCCTTCTTTCCGCTCCCATAGAGACACGTCTTCCGGCCTCCTCCTCCTCCTCTGCACTGTGCGGGTGAGGGACATGCAGAGTGTTGAACACACACCTTCCGGCCCCACCGTGTGCAGACGGAGCGCCCGTGCACGCAGTCCCCAAGGATCAGGAGGAGGCGTTGAGGAGATGCCGGGGCAGGGGCGCAAGCTGTCACTTGCTCCCTCAGGTAGAGCCTCCTGCGGCTGAGCTGCCCTGGCTGCACGCTGGTCCCCGCGGGCGTCCTGCATGGAGGCCAGCGGGTGTGACAGGACGGATCCACGCAACAGCTCTGTCTTAGGGAGAGCCGGGAAGAAGAGAGGCAGCCGCGGTAGAGACTAGAACAAAGTTGTTCCTTCCTTTTGCCCCTCCTCTCTCTGGTCTGCCTAACACTGACCTACGGTACCAGGTCAAGTGACCTTGCTGCTTGCTCCGGCAGGCCTGGCAGGACCATCTAGAAGCCGTGCCTGCCCTCTTGAACCTGCTGGCAGCGAGCCCTGCTAAAGATACACATCCCGTCCCCTCTCCGGAGAGTCGGAAATGCCCCTCCCCATCTCACCTTAGACTAAAGAGTTTTAAATCATGTCAACCGGATAATGCTTGCTTTACGTGAGAATTATTTCAGCAGAACGGATACAAATTTTCAGAACCGTCTTTTCATATCTATGTATTCTATATTAAAAGTGATAAAGTCATGTTTCTGGGGCGTATTCAAGTAGCTGACAAGTAATTATTTAATAATAGTACACTGAGCACATTGTAATTATTCTCGCCGTAGTCAGGTAATAGTATCCAACAGAAATTTCCTACCGACCTGCTGTATCCAAAGTTTTGTAAAAAGTTGTAGAAGTTGTTGATCTTTTTGATTTTATATTCAAAAAGTCTCTTTTTATAAATATTATTTATTATACAATGTATATACCTTTGAGTTAACTAAGATTATATATTATATAAATATATATATATTTGGAGAAAATATATTTCATCATGCAGTTTTTTTTCTGTTAAGTCATTAAAGAGAAGGTAAACAAACTTAAAATGGATACATTGTACAATGTGTGGAATTTCCAGGTTAATGCTCAGGAGGTCAAGAATATCCAAATCTGGATGTGGAGGCCTCAACTTACACCCTTACGTTAGTGGCCCAAAGTAAATCCGTTCCCTGTTCTCCGAGCAGGATCATCTCTGACGTCACGGACAGTGGGCCTCATCTCCTGTAGGGCTTTCTTACAGGCTTACTTTGTTCTAAGTCAGAATCTAACAATTCCCAGTGCTGGGAGTGAGTGGTTGGGGCAGTAGCTCCTTTTCCTAGACTCTAGCACTTCCACTGCACACATGAATGTCACAGACACTCAAAGATGTGGCTCAAGGCCAACAGACCACGGGGTTGGTTAATCCTTTCCTCACCCATGTTTTCAACTCCATTTATTGGGAAAATAGGATTTGCTCTATTGAAAATGAAAGCCGACTGGAAGTGGCTCACCCATCCCCTGCTAGCTAAGCTGTAGAAGGGATAGGTTGGTCAGGAAGAAGAAATGGTATGCCCTGGTGTCTGGGTGGCCTGGGACAGGTGTCCTTTGAAATTGGAGGTTGGGCAGAAAAGACTCAGCAGTGGCACGCTCTGGGAAGGGCATCCTCTCCTTGGACCGCTGCTTCAAAAGGACTCACCCGAAGCTCACAAGCAATGCCCTCTCGACAATGAGGAGCAATAACTCGGCTTTATGATGATACACAATCCTTTGGTCTTCAGATCTACCCATATAATGTCACCTTCAGTTTATGTAGCACAGCTAAAATGCTTTTTATTTCTCCTGATTTCCCTTTATTAGAAGCAAATCTTCTCTCACTGCATAGAAAAAATATATAAATAAAGCTGTCTGCCTTGTGCGCTGGCGATGGGGCTGTCTTGGGCTCCATTCAGACCTCCAACCTTAGATTAGGAATGGCTACTAGAAGTTCATGAACTTTACTGTGCCTCTCATGTGTTTCTATTTCGTTCCTGAAAAGGTTAAAACACAAAAATGGTGGTACCGGCTGTGCAAGGAATTATATGAGGAACGTAGACAGAAATCTCCATATCTATAGCCCTGCTCATCTTGTACTTCACTTTGACATAAAACTAATACTCATCTACCCTAGCATCCTGAGTACTTTTTTTTCAACCTATAAGATTGCCAAACATTTAAATGGTCCCTATTCATACTTAGCAAGGCCATTTGTAGTCCTATGATTAATTATATTCTATGATTAAAGAGAACACAGTTTATTGCAGTGCTTGAACATTCAGTTTCACCCAAAGTATAAAATACTAATAAACATCTAAAAACAAGAGGAAGCTAAAAAAAAAAAAAAAAAAGATCCAAAAGAAAGAAAAGAGACAATATAATGGGAAACTCTCTTTCAAAGCAGTATTTTATGAAAAAAAGCAGGGAAGAGAGTGCATGAGTTCAAGGCTGGGGAAGGAGGTACAAATAAATAAAGGCAAAGGAAAGGCAGAGAAAAGTAGGGGAAGAGATGACGGGGAAATGATTCTAGGTGGATCTAGTGACGGATCCAGTGATCTAGTGGTCCCTCCATGCCGGCCTTGGGTGTATGGATGGGCACATTAGCTGTGGCTGATCAACACACACTTGGAGTTAATGCCGCAAAATGATGGTAGCTACACTTAGCTTGACAGAGAACTCTTGAGGAAGCAGAGAATTACCCTACCATTAATCTTATACTCCCAAGAGAGTGTGACAAAGTCAGTTGTGTGGAGACTGTATGCTAGGGAAATTTCAAATATGAGTCCTCCTTGCACATCCTGTCTTCATGGTTTAGGATTCTTGCCCATCACAGGCGCTCTGTAGAGCATCATAATGCCCTGGTGTCTGCAAAGCACACGCCCTCTGTGGGCTCGGCTCCAGGGCTCAGTCTCAGCACTGCTTGCCAGTGGAGAAGAAACTTTAGATCATTTTGCAATAACTTCTGAAATGTACATGCTTTTTTGAACTTTTATCCACGCCGTCCCAGTGTCTTCTTTGAAGAGGCTTATGAATCAAGCGGCCAGGTGAGGAACAGGAAATCTTGCTTTTACCTTCTGTGCTTGGCTGGCTTGGTTGTTTATCGCTGACTCAGTGCTTCAAGTCTATTTACCAGGATTTGATTATTACACACGAATCTACTCCATAACTTGCTAAAACTTAAAAAAGAGGCTGTTCACTGTAGTTTTTAGCACATGAAAAGACAGCCTTAAAGCAACCGTCTCAGATTTTAGCCACCATTATAGTTTTTGTCATATATATATATATATATATATATATATATATATATATATATATATATACACAAAGATTCTATTTGTTAGAGAAAGAGAGAGCAGGAGCAGGGGGAGAAGGAGAGGGAGAACCAGGCTTCCTGCTAAGCAGGGAGCCTGACGTGGACCTCAATCCCAGGACCCTGTGATCATGACCCCGAGCCAAAGGCAGACACTCAACTGACTGAGCCACCCAGGCACCCCTCTGTTATATATTTTTAAAGGTATTTCAGTGAGGATGTACAAATACAGAAAGGATGAGATAATTTCCTTTTTTGAGGTTTTAATTACGGCTTCTGACAAAAACTAGACTGTTCATAGTGCATCTATATATGAAGAAATCTAAGGCAGCAGCTGGCTGGAGTCTCCTTTGCTTTGTCACTAGGCCTGTGATGTCATACGCTCTCTCGCTCTCTGTACAGCACGGCTTTGAAGAGCACTGGAATAGCTTCAAGACTCCAGCTTCCCAAGGCTTTAGGGTCCCCCTAGGAGATGTGGACAATTCCTGGGGAGCTGACCTTTTCACACTGAGTCTTGATTCTCTGAGCTGCCTTTCGTCCTACCTGATCCAACTCTAAGGATCGAGCTTTTAGGCTAAGATCTGACAACTCAGAAAAATGCAAAAAGGATTCCAAAATAAAACATGTGAAGAAATGCCACTGAGAGTGTCTGAATCCTTTGGTTTGTACATTTCAAAGGAATAATTCTAACTGAGAAACAATTTTCCTTTCTGGATTATTACTAACCCATTTATGGCTTTGGTAGACTTCAGTTTAATAAGGTGGAAATAAGGAAAATAAGTTATGAAGGTTCTTATTGTGCATTAACTCTTGAAAATACATTATTGATGTTTTTTTCTTTTCAAAGGATTATACTTACTATATAATGAAAACCAGATTCTTAAATAAAAATCCTCCATCTCCTCAGGCTAGTTAAAACAAAGAGAGGCTTTTCTGAGCCCTCTCTTCTTCACACATTCCTATCAGTTATGTGTGTTGTTTTGTAAAAAACACTGGTCCACAGAATATTTTCAAGTGTAGATACTCTTTATTGCATTCCTTCATTTGCATGAAACAATATATTTATATTTTCCAATATAGTTTTGGACAAAACACAAAGACATGAACCTCATTTAATGAGAGCCATAAGTTAATACAGTGTGTGTTGCTTTCTGGGAGGAGAAAAGAGGCAAGTTGCACAGTAGGTCAGGGAACCGGGGGTACTGGCCATCAGGGATCACAGAATTACACAATACAAAAAAAAAATCAACTTTTTAAAAAGCCACAAAATAAGCTAGGGATGAAAGCCCAAAACGAAGTAGAGATGACATGGAAGTCAACCAAAAATATACAGATGGCAGGATCTGGAGATAATCTGCCGTCTACCATATAGGACAAATGACAGAGCTACACCCAAGTGCCACTGTGGCCACAAGCCTCACGAATGACGTGAAGCACCATCAGGTGGTTGCTGACTGCCCGTCCCTGCACCTGAAGCTGGAGTCAGGAGAGAGTGGTGTGCTCCGTAAGTCTCATCACAGATATGATGACCTGATTCGTTCTTCCTGACTCAGATAGAAAACAAACACCACTGGTTCTCCTTCCCTTTGGAAGAAACGTGTAGAGGGGAAAGGAAGTGCGTTAAATGTACTGGAATGGATGTTAAAAGACTCAGGGTGAGGGTCAGAAAGCTGTTTCTTCTGGAGAATAGTGTTTTATTTTGGTGCTAGATAGCACAGAGGGTTTGAAATAAAGGAAGAATAAATTCTAAGTCATTAAGCTGAGGAAGAAGGAAAATGGTGAAACTAATAATAAGCCTTTATTATAAAGTTGTTTCCCATTTAGAATTAGACACTAAGTGCTGAGAGGTTTATAAATGACTTTACTTAATGACTTCTTTCTGTTTAGGGGTGTATGCTTTCTCCATATAGGTCTTTCCCAAATCATAAGCAACAGCCAACACAGTAATGATCAGACTTCCTATTAAGAAAGACCTCCTGATTGCAACTTGGAAACCTCTCTGAAAATGAGAACAGTGTCTTGGAAATTCAGAGTCCTGTTTCTTCAGGCAAAGATAACAACCAGTTTTTTGGGAGAACCTATAACAAAATACCCAAGCACATTTAGTGTTCACACAGGCGAGTTGTAAGACGAATCCATACCTCTAGTCACTGTTCCATTTATATCTAGAAAGTGTTCTAACAGGCCGAATACTGTCTTGCAATATCATTACAATTTATTTGTAGTTTTTGGGTGGTGATGGTGGTAGGGAGCTTAAAATGTGTAGTGTTCACTAGTGTAGCATATCTCCCACACTTAAAGACTGAGAAAGAAGGAATTAGATTGCACAGAGAGGTAAGCATAGCATTCTAGAGCAAATTTGTACCTTCCACAAAACAGCAGAATATCTGAGTAAGCACAAGGAAGGGAGTTTTATTGCACTAATCATGCAGAGTGAGCACATGTTGAAGGTAAGGAACATTTCACTTTGTCCAGGATCTTGAGTAAGCTGAGTGAAGATCCCAGGCCATCTTCACCTTGGTCACTTCCCTTGGTCACTGTGTGTGTGCAAAGAGTCCATTTTCAAAGTCCAGGGGGCTACTGAAAAAGAAATATCCAAAACAAGAAAACAAATGAGGGTCAACAAAAAACCATTTATCACAAAATCACTAAAAGCTTCTTAATGGTTTTTCTACATTTACTATGCATTTGCTATTAGATAAGCATTTCACAAAAAGAAAATGATCATAGCCCCATGCATTTAAAAGCAGGTTCCAATAAATATGTACCATCGAGTTTTTTCCTGCATTGTGACAAGGAAGTTTTGCGAAGCAGGACAAGGAGAGCAAACCAACAGTACAACCAGTTTCCTTGCTTGGTCTCTCAGACCTACAACACAGTGAAGAATGCTAATAAATGGAAACAAAGTTGTCCAAGAAAGGTTGAGAATTCAAATGTATATGTACTGCATAGCAAGGCTTAGAATAGGTGCTGGGATTTAACAGAGTAGTAAGTCTGGTTGACAGTCTTAAGTGTTGTGTGTACTTACGCTCCTTCTTCTCTTAAGAGGGCCAAGAATTTTCTTACACGGTATTCAGGATCCATCTAAATACATCAGAAGAAATAAAGAAGACGGGTTAATGGCACCTTCTAATAACTATCTACTTCATGCCAAGGAAATGCTCGGTTTCATACTTCCTCCACCAGTACTTTGCTGAGTCATAGAAATATGTCACCTGCTCCCTGACCAGTATTCTGATACACAGTGAAGCAGATTACATCATTCAAGAGGAGTGAACAGGATTTCCCAGCACAGAGAATCACTGTGCATGAGGTTCCAAAGGACCCAGCTGGCATTCCCAGGCACCTCAGCTGAGTGCCCTCCTTAGCTAGTGCTGTGTGAGGAGGCAGTATGTCTGAAAGGATACATGTGAGACCAGACAGTGGCTGTTCATGTGGGTTCAAGGGACATCCAAGTCATAGGACTCATCTGGTGTATAAAAGTGAGACCAACTTAAACCAATTGAGGTTAATTAAATGACTTTTAGTAGCTTATTAACTCTTCATGACTTTAGTAGCTTATTAACTCTTCATGACTGACACGTTAGCTTTTCTTAGCCTTAGTCTCCCATGCATAGTTTCTTTGCAATTAATGAAAAAAAAAAAACACAACAACAACAAAAACGGTGTTAAAAGTAAAAAAAAAAAAAAAAAGAGTGGGGCTGAATCCCCTAACATGGCCCCTAGATAAGCTGGGTTTCCCATGACAGAAAAGCATCATGTTAGTGGAGCCTGGCTGGCTCAGTCCATGGAGCATGTGACTCTTGATCTTGGGGTTATGGGTTTGAGCCCCATGTTGGGTGTAGAGGTTACTTAAAAATAGAATCATTAAAAAAAAAGGCATCACAAGTCTAGGAGAAGATGGGGAATTTTGGTTCAGGGGCCAAGTTTAGGATATTACTAATTTTCTCTTTATTTTCCTTTTATATTCATATGTATACTAATTTGTTAAATTATATTTTGTTCTTATTGGTATACCAAAGATTTAAAGTTATCTAAAAAATGATCATTAAAAACATCTTTAATTCTTTAAGATGAATTTTTATTGTCAGAAACATACCTAACTTTTAAAAAATGTTCCAGGGCAGGAGTCTGTTTCCCAAGAGGGAACTCCTTGCCCTCCAGGAATAGCTTTCAAATGTCGGTGCAGCTGTGGGTAAATGTGCAATTGGATTCCCCCTCAACCACGGTGTTTTTTTTTGTTTTGTTTTTTTTTTTAAGATTTCTTCTCTTCTATCCCAGAAAAACATTGAACAGAAGTTTCAAATGTATCAAAGTTAAGAGGTCAGACTACAAAGGACCAAGAAAAAGTGTGAATAGCTAACAAAAGAAACATTTTCCCTCTTTGGGAATAGAATTACATATGAATCAATTGTCAAGTTCCTTAAAAAAAATGGAACTAGCTGGAACTCAGTTGTAGTCAGTACTTGCAAGTCTTTGCCCATTAAATATATTTAATATGTGTGAGCAACGACTTACTGACTTGCCTGTAGCTATGGAATTAAAAGTCAAGAGAAAGGGAGGAAAAAAGTAATCTAGATAAATGACTTTATTCCCTCAGGTGACATCCAGTCAGAGCAGATCCCCGGCACTGTGCAAGTTTTAACAGAATCGTGTAGAGTGAACAGAGAGGCAACATGACTTATATTCTGCTAAACTACATGCCTCTCCACTTAGGCGCAGTCTCTCTCAGGCAGATCTAAAGAAAATTCACTCAGCTGCACGAAATCCATTTGACAAGAAGGGGTTCAAACTCAGAGGCCTATGAAGTGTCAGTCGCTGAAGATTAGGCCCGAGTGCGTACCCTACTCTTACTTTCTACCCCACATGCACGAATGGCATGAGGTTCATCACTGACCTGCATGCTTCAAAGGAGGGAGTGGTAGGGACTGGGGTGAAAAGCCCAGAGTTTCTTCTGTGCAACTATTAAAAAAAAATTATGCTGAAACCAAAAAAATGAAGAGTAGAGCTGACGATCTTGACAGATTTATCTTTTCCCAAGGAAAGAGTTAATGCATCTGTATATGCACCTTTACCAAGGATAATCCTAAGCAAAGTAATTAGTCTGTGACTTCAATTTACCATTCATCATGGAAAATATATAAATTTCAGTCTGACTAAAAGTTCAATACATTCAACTTTAGGTTTCTGAAAGCCACAATTTTGTTTTAAAATGAATGTACCAGCAAAGATTAAAAAGCATTCACTTTGTGTTCTCAATTTGTTACTGGTTCAAGAGCCTATTTCAGATGTAACCATGGAAGTCAAACTTCACCTCTGCCACCCCCTGCTCACAGGGCCCAGATGGAGGACTGAACAGAGACACATAATGCCACGGCAGGCCAGTCTGCCCACCAATGACCCGGGATGGGCCCATCTGACTACAGTTCACTGAGCACCCTACTGTTGTCCAGCTCTTTTCCTGGGACTGTGGATTCAAACAGTGACAGTCAAGGTCCCCGAACTCATAGAACTTGGTAGGAATATGTTTATTAACTAACCAGTCAGATAAGGGTAGAAAGACATAAGATGGACATGTGGAAGGGTGGAGTTCTCAAAAGAGGAAAGGTAAGTTGCCAGGAGACATGAGAAAGTCCCAAAGAACTTTCATCTATCTTTGCCTAGGTACTAGCCTAGGGCTCAGTCTTCTATGTGATCCTGGATGCTTTCTCCCTATAGTAGTTTGCATGAAATTTCTAGGAGCCAGCCAGGGGAAAATATAGAGAGCATAAGACTACCCTGTACAATTCAATTAACTTGTCCCTTAAAGCGGTCTCCCAGGCCCCTCTTGGTGTAATGCACAGTAGCTTCTGGACCACTGATGAACAACGCCATCTTCCTTCCATCAATAATTGGCTATGTTGTGATCTTGGATAGCCCACTGACAATCTGTGGGACACTCAGTACCCTCATCTCTAAAATGGGTGAGGGGACGACAGCAGAGCAATTGTTTCTTTGAAAGCCTTTTCTGGTTCTAAGATCTAATGACTCCTTAAATTAAAATTGAAAGTAACTTTACAATCTTTTCTTCTATTTCTGAATTTCAGGAAGTGAAAAGGATAAGTACCAATAAGTTATTGTTTGGTCTCAGAAGCAGGCTACTAATAGCAACTTGAGTTAAGAAATAAGAGAACTGTAACAAACAAATTACAACTTTAGCAAAGGAGGGGCGCCTGGCTGGCCCAGTCCGTGGAGCATGCAACTCTTGATCTAGGGGCTGTGGTTTCGAGCCCCACGTTGTGTGTAGAGATTACTTAAAATAAAATCTTTAAAACAAAACAAAACCTTAGCAAAGCAAATATAAAACTTCTTGGTACATCATGAAGCTCTGGTGTCTGAATCATTGGAGAAGGCAGCATCTTACCTGTAGCGACATCTCAATTAGCATTAGTAACTTCTTAATTCCTATCCAGACCTTCTTTCCTTTGACTTGCTGTGAAATTGTGGTACGTTCCTTATCTTTGAAGTTGCCCAAAAGCTACAAAAACAATAAAAATAACAAAAGCATTTTTATAGTAAGTGCATCAACATTAGTTAATGCTCACATTTATCCTTAAATGAACAATATTAAAGGGGTGCCTGCGTGGCTCAGTTGGTTAAGCATCTGCCTTCAGCTCAGATCATGACCTTGGGGTCCTGGGTTGAGCCCTGTGTGGGGCTCCCTGCTCAGCAGGGAGTCTGCTTCTCCCTCTACCTCTGATCCTCCTCTCTGCTTGTGTTCTCTCTTTCTCTCAAATAAATAGATTTTATTTATTTATAAATAAATATAATAAATATTAATAAATAAATAATAAATAAATAAATAAATAAATCTAAAAAAACGAAAAAAGAAAAAAAAAAAAAAAGAACAGTAGTAAGAACTACCTGACTGGTTCAGGTTGACAGGATTTTCTCTTATTTTAAAATCCAACCTGACTTTCCTAAACCCATTAGGTACAATTATGAAAATGAAAATTGGTATCCTAAATCCTGTTTTCTAAGAGACCTTTATTATAATTTAGAGATATGATTGCTAGGGGTGGAGGGAAAAAAAGCTTCAATCCATAATAAATATCAGTTAAAAATTTTAACATGTGTCAAAACAGAGACTAAATTTAACTGTTACCCAACCCTGGCACAAGAGCTGCTCATGTAGGTAACCTGGAGACATTTATCATATGGATAAGAGCTGCTCACATAGGTAACCTGGAGACATTTATCATATGGATAATTTCTATTTTGTTGGGCGTAAGCCCGAACTGCATAGATCTTGAGAATTTAAAGAAGCTTTTACCACTGCTGAACAGATCACTACCTAACATTTTTTCCCTCAAATCTCAACAAGTGATTGTGTACACTGATTTTAATCAAAAGTATAGTGAAGGTTATAGTTTTTAAAAATGTAAACTTTGTCATCTTCAAAAAATTTAAGAAAACATTTCTATATTATGAACTTGTTGATAAAGCAGTTCCTTTTACTTCTGTAGCTTTTCTAAAGTCTCTAAGGTTTTAACCACTGTTCCAATTTATTAAATGCAAGTAAATGAGCAGAAAGGTATTTCGAATGACCGAATTTTCTACATATTGATTACTCTTCCTCTGCCACCCACTGCTCCCCTTCACCCATTCCAGGTTTCTGGCCCATGTAATCTTTATGTATCACTCATGGTGGACACAGAATAATTCATTGCTGGCAGGCTGGGTGCTGCCTACACCAAGGAAGGGGAGGTTCATTTACTTTCACTGACGTCATCTCTTCATCGAATTCCTGAAACAACTGAAGGTATATCCCAGTTGCCCTATTCTAGGTTAGACAGAAAGTCAGGCACCAGATGCAATGTCCACGACATCCCCTCAGCATTATCTGCAGCCCCAATTCCTTTCTCATAGACAGTTTGCAATCCACTGACTCATTTTTACCTCCAGAGCCTCCAACAGCTGCTCTCCTGTGGCAATGTTGGGCACATGGATGGTGGTGCTGAAGGCGTTCAGCATCTCCATCTCCTGAAGGACATCTTTGCGGCTAGTTGTCCCAATGATAAGAAGCTTTCGGCCCTGATCATAGGGAGAAAATGTGTTAAAATGCAGGATAAGACTGGTTAGGAAACTTGGAGTAAGCCTGAACAAAATCATTTAATTGCAGAAATGCAAATGGTTAGGCAAAAGAAAATAAATTCATAGTTTTCCTCATGAAAATCAAAAGAAAAGTATCAAGAGCATGATTAAGAGGGATGCCTGGGTGGCTCAGCAGTTGAGCGTCTGCCTTTGGCTCAGGGCACCATCTCAGGTCCTGGAATCTAGTCTCGCATCGGGCTCCCACAGGGAGCCTGCTTCTCCCTCTGCCTGTGTCTCTGCCTCTCTCTGTGTGTCTCTCATAAATAAATAAATAAAATCTTAAAAAAAAAAAAAGAACATGATTAAAAAAGGCAAAAATTCCTTCTTGTCATTCACATCAATAAAATAATGGATGAGTAAGTCAAGGAGACATATAAACCAAATAAAAAGATACTGAAGTATATGTTGTAATTCATTTTTCATGGCCAACATGGTATACAAATGGTGGGAATTGGAGGAAAGGAAATGAATGAACAGAAAGTCTGTATCACTCACTTACTAAAGATTTATAATGCTTTTCAGAAGGAGCAGGGTGAGGTGCCTGGGTGACAGAGTCAGTTAAGCACTGACTCTTGGTTTCAGCTAAGGTCGTGATCTCAGGGTCCTGGCACTGAACCCCACACTGAGCCCCACATCAGATTCCACACTCAGCATGGAGTCTGCTAGAGATTCTCTCTCCCTCTGCTCCTCCCGCTTGTACCCGTTCTCTCTCTAAAATAAGTAAATCTTTTTTTTTTTTTTTAAGGAATAGGATAACAATAATTGTTTACATTTCTGCAACATTTAGCTGTGAAAGGCATGGTGCCAAGTGCTTTACATAACTGTGTCACTTAATATTTTTAAATTTCATATTTAAAAACATTTAGTATATATTTAACTCAAAAATATATAAATTTAGTGTATATTTAACTCAAAAATATAGAAAAAAACGTTTAAAAACTAAAGCAGGCCTATGCCACCATTCCTGATTCCCTCTCTCCAAAGGCAATCATTTTAGATTCTTAGCTTTTCTCCTTGTATTTGCCTCCTTTTCTTTAAATCAAGGTTACACCACTATTTTTAGATTTTTTTGAAAGATTTTATCTATTTATTCATGAGAGTGACACAGAGAGAGAGAGAGGCAGAGACACAGGCCAACGGAGAAGCAGGCTCCATGCAGGGAGCCCAATGTGGGACTCAATTCCAGGACCCCAGGATCACACCCTGAGCCAAAAGCAGACTCTCAACCACTGAGCCACCCAGGCGTCTCTATTTTTAGATTTTTGTTTTCAGTTCTAAATATTATTTATTGACCACTTATTATGGAAGATGGGGATTTAATACTTGCCCTTTTTTGTCTTTCCAATGTGGTTATTTCATAGTCTTTGAATAAAAGCTATATTCAGTATTTATCATGATTATATAAATATGATTGACAGCTAAGCCATGTAGTATACCACTATATTTCCTTTCTTAGGAAATATTTTAAATTTACCAGAGTTAATAACTGCCATTTTCACCCAGGTATTTATTAAAAACACACACAACCATGAATATCTTTTCAATACATGCAAACATGTCGGGGAATTTTATTTATTTATTTTTAAAGATTTTATTTATTTATTCATAGAGACACAGAGAGAGAATGAGAGGCAGAGGGAGAAGCAAGCTCCATGCAGAGAGCCTGACACGGGACTCAATCCAGGGTCTCCAGGATCACGCTCTGGGCTGCAGGCAGCGCTAAACCGCTGCACCACCAGGGCTGCCCATGTCGGGGAATTTTAAAGTTTAAGACATCCCCCTCCTGGAGTCCTGTATTCTCAAAGCTCAATCTGAACAGACTGCTGGTGCACAGCTATAGTTCTAGAACTTTCTTCTCTCATGTTAGATCTCCTACATCCTGGTCTTCCGTTTACTTCATTTATTCCCTCTTTTCCATGGTGTACCATAACTTCTTGAGAGAGGGTGCACAGAAGGTAAAAACGTAAAGACTTTGAATGTCTGGAAATGCTTTTATTCCACCACTAATATTGTCCACTCTATATTTAATAGTTCAGTGAGGTACAGAGAATAAGACTAAAAATAATTTTCCCTCCAGAATTTTGAAGGCATTACTCTATTGTCTTTTAATTTTCAGTGTTGCTGGCTAGAAGACTAATGCTATCCTGATTTTGACTCTTTGCTTCTACTTTTTATTTTTAATTTTTAAAGGACCTTTTCCTTACCCTTAGTTCTGTAATTTTAAGATCACATACTTTGAGCTAAGTCTTTCTTTACTCATTCTGCTGGTGCTAGATGGGTCCTTTCTTTTCTTTTTTTTTTTTTAAGATTTTATTTATTTATTCATAAGAGACAGAGAGAGAGAGAGAGAGAGGAGAGAGACAGACAGAGAGACAGACACAGAGAGAGAGGCAGAGACACAGGCAGAGGGAGAAGCAGGCTCCATGCAGGGAGCCCAGTGTGGGACTCGATCCCGGGACTTCGGGATCACGCCCTGGGCCGAAGGCAGGCACTAAACCGCTGAGCCACCCAGGGAATCCTAGATGGGTCCTTTCTAAACTGAAAAATCTAGGGGTACCTGGGTGGCTCAGTTGGTTAAACGTCTGCTATTAGCTCAGGTCATGATCCCACAGTCCTGGGATCAGGCTCCCTACTCTGTGGACAGCCTGCTTCTCCCTCTCTTTCTGCCTGCTGCTCTGCCTGCTTGTGCTCTGTCAGATAAATAAATAAAATCTTTAAAAATAAATAAATCAACTGAAAACTCTAATGACTCAGTTTTACGAAGTATCTTGGATTATTTCTTTGATATTTCTTTTTCATTCATTTTCTGTGCTTTTCTTTTTTTTTTCTTTTTTTTTTTTTTTTTTTTTGGTTCCCCCCCAAGAACCTCCATGAGTTGCATACTGGTCTACTAAGACTGATCTTCTATTTTTCTTTTCTTTTTTTTTTTGCTCCTGGTTTTCATCTCTTTCAAACACATTACCAAATACTTTTTTGGGTTAGTATCAACATTATCTCCCAACCTTTATATTAAGTTTTTTCTATAATATATTTTCATTTCTAAGAGCTCTGTCTTGTTTCTTGAATACTTTTTCTTTTAAAACTACATCCTATTGTATTTAATGGATACGATACCTTATTTTAGATCTGTGTGAATATTACAGGTTTTATAATGTTTTCTTCTGTTCTCTGCTTTGTCCTATCTTCCTGGAGCTCCTTTTTTCCCATTTGTTCACTGGAGGTTTCCCTCAAGTATCTGGTGATTGCTGGATGACTATTCAGATTTAAGAGTTAAACTAATGACTGGAAGCTCAGAGTCTGAAGGCTTCACTACAAGATAATCAGATAAGACTTGGCTGATTATTGGGGGTCCTCCAAAGGTCAGATCTTCCAATCTCCTTCCTGAGGGCTATGAAGCCTAGTTTCCAGCATACTGGGAGTAGATGGGGGAAGGGGTCTGGGGATCCCATCATTCAATATGGAGACTCCCATTTACTTCTATTTGCAAATGACATCTCTTGAGATCAAGTCTCATTTCATGTTCATATAATCCTAAGAATTATGTACTCGTATCATCTCTACTTTACTGATAAAGCTATTGAATCCCACGTAATTTGTTGAAGGTCAAGTAACTAATATATGATGGATCCAGGGATGGAAGCCAGATCCAAAATCTAAAACTGGATACTGCTTTTCTTCATGAAGAAAAACACATTAAAAAATGTTTATTTGGAAAACGGAAGAAGAATGCATTTTAAACTATGTCACTATATTTATAGTACACACTCCACAGATAAGCCTTTAATACAATCATTAAACCTATCCATGGATCTTAGAAACTCGGGATGTTAAAATAAATGAGAAAATAAATTATGTGAAAATTAAAATAAATACAGGAAAAGATACTAAGGAATTGAAGATCAGATGCCAAAACAATTTTAGTTTGGGGTTTGTAAACATCATACCACTACTACCAATAAGGCATACCAATCATCATTCTCATTCTTAGTCACAGTTTTTGTCAATCTACGGTGCCAATAATGGAAAAAGCACCAATATAAACAAAGGCATATCAAAGAAGCAAAGTCAAGACCTTCTGGCACAATTAGTGATTGGCACACATATGATTATGCAAAGACTATGGGACAGAAGTATACCTGTGAAGTACACAGATCGAAGGATAATCATTATTATCATTCAAGAAATCAACGAGCTAAAAATCAAACACATTATCAACAGACCTTTATCAAGCTCCTAGATGAATGTGGAATAGACTCTCTCTCTCTCTCTCTCTCTCTAGAGAGAGAGAGAGAGAGAGATCTACAAAAGAGATAATGATGATACATTATGGACAGGTGGGAGGTGTTATGTATGCACAGGATGTTATGGTAGAGGGACGGTACATGTGGCAGAGAAACATCTGCTCTTTCTCTGGAACTGAGTTTTAAGGAATGAGTAGGTTGATTAGAAGATGAAGGGGAAAGATATTCCAAGCCAGAAGGAGCAGAAATATGTAGGTATGAAGGCAATGTAATAAAAACAAAAACTGGGGAACTGGGGTAATTACAAACACACACATTACAAACATATACATTTCTACTATCACAGAAGACTGGTGCCTTATTATTCAACATCAAATTCCATCTGTAAACTTAAGAGCATATCCCTGAAAGCTAACAGATGCTAATGGCCACATTGGCTGATACAATGAAAGGCAACTGTTCACTCTCCTTTTCCTTAATTTTTGAATGTTCTGTATACCCCATAATTCACACTCCCCCATCTTGTCTTTTCTCAAGGAGGGTGATGCACTGGCCCTAGAAGAATGGCACTGAGGAAGAAGCTTGTTACTCCAGAAAGCTGGAATTGCCATTTTCCTAGTGAAACTCTGTCTTACGTCAACAGTGACTATGCTCTTCTGAGTGTTGAAAGACTGGGAAGTGTAGAGCAACTTATAATGG